CAAGAGGTTGTATTTGATAGAGAGCTATAGAGTCTACTTGCGTGGTGTTTATTTACTTGTCGGAGAAAGGTTGCACTGAGTGTCTGAGCGCGTCGTCTGGGCGCCGCTCAGGCCTCGCACAGATGCCGGGTTGCAGAGTAAGACCTGGCGTCTGCTGCTTGACCGAGATTCCATCGAGGAGCTATCCAAAGGGCGTTCAGCCCGTTACAACGCCTAAGTGTGTGTGATCGAGTATATCTATACGACTACCTGGACTTCAAGAAGCTTGAAGTCTTGTTACTGCCTTTTTGGCTATGGATGGCGTAAGTAGTCTTACGCTCGGCCCGTTGGGCCCGCCCATTACATCTAATAGCTCCTATTCTGCAATATTTAACACAAAATTTTTTATTATAGACCTAGTAGGTGTAAGCCTATAACTAGAAAGCTTCTAGATATACTTTATAAGCTTAGCTTTATGTTATATAGTGAGTAATTTTCTATTTTCTATAGTAGCTACACAGGACTAGGTTTGTTTGTAGTAGTAGCGCGTTAACGTTAATAATATAATACTAAACTTTTTTGTAGCTACTCTATACAAAAGTTGTTTTTTAGAATCTTACGCATTAACTACTATAAGCGCTTTCTTAATTAGAGTTATAGTAGTAGAGTTATTACGCGTTAAAGTGGGTGGGTCTGTTTTGGGAAGGTGCAGATGGTGTTGCATCCGCTGAACAGTTGCACGCACTGACCACCTACAGTAGCACATTTCAACATCACTTCTCAATCAAATTTCCTCCACCTGCTTTTTTTTGCAAAAAAGCTCAACATGTCTGAACTCAAGGACTTCGACCGGATGTTCCGCCTTGATGGCAAGGTAGCGTTAATAACGGGTGGTAAGTAAGCTTACAGACCTTTATTCGATTCAACCTTTCCTTGCTCAACTCTGCTAGGATCGAGAGGACTTGGGCTTCATGCAGCGACTGCGTTCCTCTTGGCAGGTGCAAAAAAGGTCTTTATCTCTGCGCGTAAAAATGAAGGGGAACAAGGCATCGACCAAGCCGTTGAGAAACTCAACAAATTGCCTGTCTCAGGAGTTGCAGTTGGAATTGCAGCCAATGTCGCCGACACCGAAGACATTGAGAGATTGGTGAAGGAGATCAGCAAAACGGATCAACAGTTGGATATCCTTGTTGCCAACGCGGGCGCAACGTACGGCGGACCGTTTGATACAACGCCAGATTGGTCAAGTAAGAAGGTTTTGGACCTCAATGTCCGCGGGGTATTTAATCTGGCAAGGCTGTGCGTACTCGGGAGGATATGATCAAAGGTGTTTGTTAATTGTAATAGCTTCGCACCTCTCCTAGAACGCGCTGGCACTCATGCCTCGCCTTCTCGCATAATCATCGTCTCTTCTACAGCTGGAACGACCGTACCTCACGTAGGCGACAACGGCACAATCATGTATAGTGCTTCCAAAGCAGCCGCGAACCATCTATCGCGACAGCTAGCGATTGAGTTGGGCCCAAGAAACATCACGACAAATACCGTCGCACCTGGCTTCTTCCCTTCCAAGCTTGCTAATGGCCTGATCAAAAACCTCGGAGGACAGGAGGAGCTAGAGCAGAGTAACCCGCGAAAGCGGCTGGGAGAACCAAACGACATTGCTGGAGTGATGGTGTTTCTGTGCAGCCCAGCAGGAGCGTACATTAACGGAGAAGACATTGCCGTAGACGGCGGCATGAGACTTGCAAGCGGAAGACATTCAAAGATATAATCACAATAAAAAAAAACACCCAGTTTTATGAAAAAAAAATAACATCTTCACAACTTTGACGCACCCTTCTGCGCGGCTTCAATCCGCGCCAACTGCGTCGTCATACTCGTATGCGCCATCATCGTCCTCATATTGTCATCACAAAACTCCGGAGCCTCCCTAAAGTAAAAATTCTGCCCATTAATCTCCACCGTCAATCCCCACATCTCGCTGCGACTCTTGCTCACTCCCTTTGCGTCTTTCAAGTCGCCGCCGTCGACCAGCTTGACGACAGTATCGCGCACGCTTTCCACAGGCGTGAACTGCTCGGGCTGGAAAAACGACCATTCTTCCTGCGTCATGAGGCCTGTTCTGATCATCCCGGGACATATGGACAATGTGCGAATGCCTTCGTGGTGATAGGCAACGGCAATGGCGCGATTGAAATGCATGACTGCGGCTTTGGAGCCAGAATACATGGGGCAGAACTCGCTTGGATACAACGCTCCACATGACGCTGTCATGACCAGTACGGGATCCAGTTCGCTGTTCTCGCGTCGGGATTTCGCTTTGCGGAAGTAGTGGAGGGCTAGGTACGATGTATCCACGACGGCTTTGTAATTGATGTCGACGCTCAGCTGGTTTGGCGGCGGTGGTGGCGGACCCTGCACATCATGCTGTGCGTAGAAATTGTCTTTCTCGACGACGCCGGCGTTGGCGAAGACGAAATCTAGCCGTTGAGAGGCATTGTAGGCTGCTTCGAAAGCGCGGCTGAGCGAAGCGTAGTCGGTCACGTTTACTTGGTGGAAGTGGGCATTCATCAACTCTGATAGGGCTTGTTTCCCTGCCTCTGCGTTGAGATCAGCTATGTGGATCTCCCAGGAGACGGTGGGGTGCGAGGAAAGGGCCTTTGCGACTGAGAGCCCGATTCCTGATGCTCCTCCTGTGATAAATGCGATTTTTTGTGGCATCTTGGGTTGCGGCCTGTTAGAAGTTAGCCGTCCTGTAGCAGGTCTGGAAGTAAAAGTCGATAATAGCAAGTCCAGTATTTCCATGAATTCAAATGTTGGATGGCCGATATTATTATTATTATAGTTTAACGTCCTTTCTCAGCCCAAAGGGCTATATAAGACGTGCAGGCTTAAGGTCTGCAAGTAACTACGTAGGCTAGAATTTAATCTAGGTACAAATTGAGTAGGTACAATGTAGGGGGTTATCTAAATGAAGGTGAGACTCGTAGCCTAGTAGTTTTTTAGTGAGTAACTCTCTCAGATCTTTCACTTTAAATGAGTCTTCCTCTCAAGTTTTAACGAGTAACTCTCTCAGTCGAATAGGTAGTTTTAATGAGTAACTCTCTCATGTGGGTGGACCATAAATATGGTTGTGAGGGGAGAAGGATTCGAACCTTCGATCTTTGCTGACGTGAGACAGCAGAAAATTTTCCAGGCGCTCCACCACTGCGCCATCCCCCCTTGGATGGCCGATAGTCCAGCTGGAAAACCATTCCCTTGTGCTACTTACCTACTCGGCCTTCAATCCCAAGACTCTCCTTCTCATTTCCAACCTCGAAACTCAATACGCCCCGCGACACCTTCTCCGCATGGACGAAGGAAGTTTATTCCGGGCGTGCCGTTCACTGCAGCCGTGAATGGGGAGTCTTCGTCAGGTGCTTTGACATATACAACGTCACGGTACTGCAACCCCTTCCTTCGATGAATAGTATCACCTGCCACCGTTACTCTGTCAACGATCCTCCAAAAGCTTTCTGTCTGATAATAAACCATGACTCTAGGCTTGCTCTCTCACGGAATTGGTAAAGCCGGAAATAGACAACCACCGGCTGTCGGCCACCCAAAACTCGTCATTTTTTCAATACGATACATCAGCCACCACAATACCTTGATAGTCCCACACTGCAAACGTTGGAATTGAAACAAAAAAAACATATTAAGGTGTGAAATAGCGAAACCCTATGATCAAGCTGTGCAGCTTGCTCCTGAAGCTGACGGCCAGCACGCGCGCACACCTATTTAAAGCGGCTCAGGACTTTCCCGGTTCCGTGAGAGAGTGTAGGAGAAAACCCCAGATCTGACCCGACACAACCCACAAAATCCGCCCCGCAGAAAACTCTCTCAAGCATGACACAGCTGCGTGCGGGGAAGCGGAGCAGAATGACTCGCCATGCTACGTCGCTAAAAACCCGCGGAAAACGGCCCACGAGCATCCTGCTCCGTCTCCCCCCGCTGACCCATGTTCGGGTATCGAAAGTTTCCCATTTCCCCCCACCTGCTGTGCTACCTTCACCCGGATACCATACATGCCGTCATCCGAGCTGGAGTGTTCGCAGGCCGGCGCCTGGCCAGCAAGCACCCAAGCCTGGGCACATGTATGGATGTATGGATATAGATTGGGGAAGTGGCAATGCGTATACTTATCCCCATATCAAGTTCCATCTTGATACGCGCGTCTTGATTCTCTTCTTTCCTACTTCTTCTTCTATTCCTGCTTTCTTGCCTCTCGCCGCTTCATCTCGGTCTTACACACGTCGGCGCATCATGGCAGCACTAGCATACTCGACGAAGAACCTGCCCAAGCAGCTCTTCCTCAACAATGAATACGTCGACGCCAGGTCGCCTAGAAAACTCACGCTGCACAACCCCAAGAATGGGGAGCTCATTGCCGATGACGTCCTCATTGCGAGCGAGCATGATGTCGATCTTGCAGTCGAGTACGCGGAAAAGGCGTTGCCTGCGTGGAAGAAAATGAGCAACGTCCAGCGCCGCGGCATTTTGAATAAATTCGCCGAGTTGATCGAGCAGAATGCCAGTGAAATCGGGCAGTTGACGAGGATAACACTGGGTTCGCCGGCGGCATTTGGCGCCTTCGAGGTTGGGATGTGTGCCGAGGTATGTGTGCAAATCAAATCCGCCATCGCAGTATCAAAGTATTCGGAAGGAGATTGTCTCATATGCGGAATATGTTAGACATTCCGGTACAACGCGGGTTTCATCGACAAGTTTGGCGGCGAATCTTGGCCGCAAGAAGACGGCTTCCTCAAGATCGTGCGGTGCGTACCCAACCTCACCCTTTTCCGCAACCAAACGCACTCCCATACTTACAAAACGACATGTAGAAACGAACCTCTAGGCGTCACATGCGGCATCGTACCCTGGAACGGCCCCGTCGCCACCATCGGCCTGAAAGCCGCGCCCGCCCTCGCAACTGGAAACTGCTTCATCCTGAAGCCATCAGAGAAGACTCCGTTTTCGTCTCTCGCGCTTGGTACCCTCATCAAGGAAGCCGGCTTCCCGCCAGGCGTCTTCCAGATCCTGTCTGGCGACGGCAGCACAGGGGCGCTGCTTGCGAGCCACATGCGGATCCGCAAGGTAAGTTTCACCGGCTCGATAGCGACGGGCAAGAAGATCCAGGAGATGGCCGCAAAATCCAATCTCAAGCGTGTGACGCTCGAGCTTGGGGGCAAGTCGCCTGCCGTCGTGTTCAACGACGCGAATCTAGACAACGCCGTCAAGTGGACGGCCGACGGCATCACAGCGAATACCGGCCAAGTGTGCTTTGCAGCCAGCCGTGTGTACGTGCAAGAAGGCATCTACGAGGCGTTTATCGAAAAGTACAAAACCGCCATGCAAGCCAAGGTGCGCGAGATCGGGGATCCAGATGAGCCCACGACTAACATGGGCCCGCTGGTCGACGAAGCCCAGTTCAAGCGCGTGCAAGGCTTCATCGAGCGGGGTCAGAAAGCACAGCAGGGCACGCTGGTCGTCGGCGGCAAGCGCGTCGGCACAGCGGGATACTACCTCGAGCCCACCGTCTTCACCGATGTAGATCCCACATCGGAAATCGCGTGTGAAGAGATCTTTGGTCCTGTCAGCGTCGTCAAGTCGTTCAAGACCGAGGAAGAAGTCATGGCGCTGGCGAACAACACGAATTTCGGGTTGATGGCTGGTGTGTTTACCCAGGATATCAATCGTGCGCTGCGCATTGCGAGTGAGTTTGACAGCGGTATGGTAGGCGTGAATTGCGTTAGTCTGATGTTTACCAATGCACCGTTTGGAGGCAGCAAGGAGAGCGGGCTGGGTAGGGAATGCGGGATTCATGCGCTTAGGGCGTTTACAGAGCCGAAGACTATCATGGTGAACATGAATTATTAGCTTGTTTTGTGAGCGAGGGCAAGGGGATATGGTGGTTTTGCACGAGGCGGATGCACGTTTGGAACTGGGCTTGTGTTAGCGCTACTCAAAAGCTTCTGTGTGGAGAAAGAAGAGATTTGTAAATAAGCATGCTGGGAAGATGTAGCGGTACTTGATGAAGAGAACGTTTTCGTATATTAAGTGCTTCAGTTAGACTGATATATTGCGCATTGGATGCTGAGACTACGGGATAATCTTCGCCTTCCTCATCCTATCAAACACAGTAGTCCACACCTGTTTCGGATCTCTTTCCTCGGTAAATCCGGTACTGTACATCTTGGTCATGTCGAAATGGCGGTCAAAGTCAAACTTGGTCATGAGCAGGTGCTCTGAAATCGAGAGACCCCGACCGCCATCGACATGGCCGCTCTGAAGGCCGTACTTCTTCTCCATGGCAAGCCATGTGTCCATGTTGTCGTTGATGAACTGGCGTATGTCGATGGGCTCAGCCAGGGGCTCAGCGGCTTCGAGGCCAAAGTAAGAGCAGATGATGGGCCATTTCGTCTGCCAGTTGTAGGGCGTCTTGGAATCGGCAATGTTGTAAGCGGCGCCTTTGGGCGTCGACGGGGAAAGCGTCAGATGTATTGTTTGACGCGCAATCATGTCGCTGCTGCTGTCATTGTTAAGAGCCTTCCACACGGCCATGGTGCCTGGGAATGGACACTTGGCCCCCTCGCCGTGAATTTCTTTCCACAAACTGACGTAGAGTCCAATGGTGGTGCTCAAGGAGTAGTAGTTTTGGTTTGGCACGAAGCCGAGGATGATGTCAGGCCTGGTTTCTATGAAGCTCCACTTCTTGTCTTTGGCGTATTCGGTGATGAAGTCGATCTGCGCGTGGTAGAACAACATCTCGGCGAATGGACTGGGTATGCGCGGCGCCGATTCGGAGAGGGGAGGGGAAGGGAGTGGTGGCGCCGTGGTGCCAGGTGGGGCGGCTTCGTCGTACCATGGAAGCATGGCGCGGAGATGACAGCCATCTACCCACATCAGTCCATATCACATATCGTCGTTGGTGGAGGGACGTACAAATCTTGGTTCCAATCTGCAAGACGATGAATTCAAGAGCGGGGCACAGCTTGTCAACCGCCTTGACGGCCTTTGTAAACATGTCCATGACCTCATCCATTTCCTTGTGCACATCCAGGCCAGCTTTGTATGCGAGGTAATACACATGCGTCACCTCGGAGACGTCGGGAAGTGCCTTGGCCAGTTCCTTTTCGAGGCTCTCTTGGCTATGGGCGAGCAGGTCGATACCGGGGACCATGTTGAGGCGGGGGTCGTCTGGCCATTGCGTCTGGGCTAGAGTAATGGGACGGTTGGAGAGGGCGTGAACGCGCTTCCAGACGCCTTTGGCAGGATAGTCGGAGAGGATTTCATTGACAAACGACCAGCCTGTTTGTGCGCGAGCATGTCAGTCCATGGATCTCCGGTCATGGACACTGTTGAACTGACCTGTGACGCTCGAGGCGCCGAATACAATGGCGGATTTTGACATGGTGGTTCAATGGATGCGACACACTTGGGCCAGCAGAGCAGAGGAGACAGCGACAGTCTTGACGAGAATTCCAGCAAAGCGCTACGGCGAGAGCTTATCATGATTTGTTGCTCTGGGCGGCCGGAGACAAAGTGGGGCCAGACTATAGTGATAATGATGGGTCCATATCGCTCGAAGCGGTTTGTATGCTTCGTATAGTCTGCGTAGGCGAGCTAGATCATAGTCTAGAACTTGCCATGGCGTGTTAGCCATGTCTTTTTTTTCTCAATCCTTCTGACATGAACATGCGTTCCTCGCTATGTCGCAGTAAGAATGCGGGACATACGTCCAGTGCAAGGCCACGTAGGCGCTCGTAACGCCGTGCATAGCGGTCCACGAGTTAAGTCATGGCAGCAGCCGCGCTGGGTATTTCGAGCCCCAGCCGTGCCATTGTGGAGAATGACTGACTTGGGCGCAGTAGCGCCTTCAGGTACGCGCCGGTCGCTTGACTTGCCTGGGGCATGTCCCGAGATTGCGGGCGTTGGGCGCCTGGATTGATTTGCCTCTGGTCACGGCGGCTGCGTGACTGGCCATGTGCGGCGAGCAATGTCGAAGCTGGAATCGGCATGGGACATGTGGAATCCTTGGACTGGGACTGGTCAGATGGATGATGTGATGGTGATGAAGGAAAGATGCAGGTCACGGCGTGGTTGAGGTTTGCTAGGCCAGCCGAGCTAGCGTCGACGTTGGCCGGGCGCCCTGCCTAAACCACGGTTGGGGCACGCTATACGTTCGCGCGATGCCATGCAAATGTTGCATATTTATGATGGCAAGCTCAGTGGTGTCTATTCTCGAGAGGCTGACTAGCCAAAACTGTCCTGTGTATTAGCTTCCCGTGGTTCGGGAATCCGGCTGGGTACCCTCTAGCCTGCATAGCGCCCCATCAAGACGGCTGGGAGATTATCTATCCGTATGGTTGCAGAGTATGTGCCGGTAGGACAGCTCAGATTCCTGCTTCTAATGGCCTACCACATAACTAATTCTCCTAGATTTCCGGCCGATGTACAATAACATGTGCTTAGTTCGCATCGGAACCGCCCCGCGTAACGTCTTCCGCAACCCCTCAACCGTTATGCACCCTCGATACAAACATTCTCGGCTAAACGGTGCGAGTCAGAGAATTCGGTACAGCCAAACACGCCGCCATCACCCTGCCTACCGAAAAAAGAGCCAATGGAAATGGTCCAAAGCGTCCCGCGTCAGGTGCACCAACCGGCGTGGCGGCCAAGGCCAGGAACATGGAGTGTGTGCAACGTCTGAAGACATCCGAGACGCGGTTAAACATTCCAGAGATCCTGCAACTTCAAACCATATCGTTGTGGTAGTTGGTTTCTTTTTATACCTTGATTTCACGTTATCTTTTGTGTTTTTCACACTTCGTCTGCTATTTCAAGGGCTGCGTCCTGCACTACTATCTGCCTACATCACACTGGAAACAGTCAGACAATAATTGGACTTGCATTCTGTAATCACCGCCATGGGGGACTCGGGAATGAATGGGCTTCGTTCCAATGGCCACCACATCCATTACGACTATCCACCGTCGCATGTTGATGGTCCATACAGAATCCTGGACCAATACCACTCGAAGCCCTCCAAGCTGCGGGTGGCCTGCATCGGCGCTGGCGCATCGGGCCTTTGCCTGGCATACAAAATGGAGAAGATGCTGGAGCCGGGGTCTTTTGAGCTGACACTATTCGACAAGAATCCGCAGTTTGGCGGAACTTGGTACGAAAACACATATCCGGGAGTTGCTTGCGACATACCAGCGCACGACTACAACTTCACCTGGGACCCCAAACCCGACTGGTCGACCTTTTTTGCATCCGGAGCAGAGATTCAGGGATACTTTGAAGACTTTGCCGAAAGGCATGGGAGCAAAAAGTACATGCAGCTGAACAGCAAAGTCGAAGAGGCAATCTGGAATGACCAGGATGGATGCTACAGTCTGACCATCAGAAACCCAAAGACTGGCGCAATGAGAAAGGACTGGGCCCATGTGCTGGTCAACGGGTCAGGTGAGACGACACTGAATACTAGACGAGCAGAGCTGACAAGCGGCAGGTATCTTGAATAACTGGAAATGGCCCGATATCCAGGGCCTTCACGATTTCGAAGGGCCGCTGCTGCACTCGGCATGTTGGGACCACAGCGTGGACTTCCGCAACATCACCGCTGCCGTCATCGGTGTCGGTTCTACCAGTGTCCAGATTGTGCCTTCGTTGCAAAAGATTGTCAAAAAGGTGAGTGAAATATGTCGACTGCATTGCAACGACGACTAATTAGATCTCCTCCTCGTTAGCTTGAAGTATACATGCGAAGTCCAACGTGGATATCGCCACCTTTTGGCGCAGGGGCGCTCAACGACGACCTCCAGAAAGGCCAGGATGTCGACCCAGGCCAGCGGCAGTACACCTTCACCGAAGCCGACATCAACAAGTTCAAGCAAGACCCAGAGTACCATCTCGAGTTTCGGAAGAAGATCGAGGCCGAGATCAACAGCCTCTTCGGCATGTACCAGCAAAATTCTGCGCTGCAGAACCAGTTCAAGGACGCCATCACCAAGGAAATGCACCGCCGTATCGGGCCCGGCCACGAGAAACTCAAACAATTCATGATCCCCAAATGGTCCGTAGGCTGCCGCCGCATCTCGCCCGGCGACGGCTTCCTCGAAGCGCTGACCCAGGACAACATAACCCCCATTTTCGAGGGCATCGAGCGCATCGTCCCCGAGGGCATCAAGACAGTCGACGGCACAATCCACAAAATGGACGCGATAGTGTGCGCCACGGGTTTCCAAGTCGCCTTCCAACCCGCCTTTACCGTGCGCAACGGCTCAGGCGTCTCCATCAAAGAAGACTGGACCGACGGGCCCAACCTGTACATGGGTGTTTCTGCGCCTCGTTTCCCCAATTACTATACTATTGTTGGGCCCGGCGCGACGTGGAGCAACGGCACCCTGCTGCCGAGTATCGAGACGACGATTGAGTACAGCGTCAAGTGCATGAAGAAGATGCAGAGCGAGGGCATCAAGGCTATGAGTGTGAAACAGGAGGCGCTAGATGAGATTTACGCGCATTTCGACGAGTTCCATAGGACGACTGTGTGGCAGGAGGAGTGTCGTAGTTGGTTCAAGAATGGGTCGACAACGGGCAGGATATATCTCTGGCCAGGCGCTGTAAGTGAACTTTTTGTTGCTGGTTTACCGCACCTTTTTTCTGTTGAAAGTGGACTTTTCATTACAGTTTGTCTGTATATTTTTTCTTTTACAAGTGGACTTTCTATTCCAGTTTCCCTGCCCCTCCTTCTCCCAGTAGTCGACTGTTTATTACTTACTTCCTACATATCGTTTCTGTCAAAAGTGGGCTTTCTATTCCATTTTCCTACATCTCTTCCTTCCAGGCCCCCCATCGCGATTATCTCTCTTCTCGTCTTAGTGCTACATGCACCCCTGTCGCTCTCTCGGTCTTTTCTACCCCGCATTGTGTTGTGCATGGCCAACTGACTCGTTGCCTATACAGACGATCCACTTCCTCAAATCAATCAAGACGCCGCGCTGGGAAGACTACGACTACGTGTACAGATACAAGAACCGGTTTGCGTTTCTGGGCAACGGAGATGTCAAGGCCACGGCGACAAGAGACTTGCATGGGCTGAGCCCATACATCCGGAACGGGGATCACGAGTGGGATGTAGACTGAAATGGGTGGGTTCGTTGAGCTTTCCTGCAAGCCAAATGCAGCGCGTATGTATTAATGGAGTGGGGAGATGTTTTTGGGGATGGGGAAAACCGGAAGGCTGCCGAGCGTATGCGTATGCGGCTTGAGCTGTTTTTCTTTTTTCTGTTTCTGACTACAAGCTTTGTTTCGCGAATCAGCATGACGTCTTGGAAGATCCCAGCGAAAAGAACTTGCTTTTTTTTAAAAACTTTCTAGTCGGATCGAGGTGGCGATGGATTATACTCTGTATACGTGTACTTATGTAGGTGTAGTAGAGAGTTCTGCTTGATGCGGTGCTACCCTAGAAAGACACGGAGTCCCTTCACCTTTGCTCGACCCCGCTCGAATGCGCACGGCAGATGTATGGCTGGAGTTACTGCAGACGCATGCACAGCTACATGTACCCCTATAGTAGTCAAGGCTGGTCTCAATCCGGCAAGCGTGCGTGGTTGTTCTAGCTCCGAGACTCCGCGACGGCCCAATGACACGCGACGTTCCCTCGTCCGCCTGATTCAGACTCAGCCCTCTTCTCCCCCCAACACGACTCGCCTTTCCCGGAATATCACCACTCGGTCGCGACGCTAGAGAGCCGTGCATGTCTATTGGGAGAGGATCCAGGACACAGCAGCCCCGGCCCCCCGTATCTGAATACGCATGAGACACGCCAAAAAAGGGTGCCTGTGACCCTCCGCCTCGCTACCATGGAGCTTTCCCCACCCCTTTCCACCACCGCTGCCACGATGCATCTTTACGTCAGATTCGCCGGATCGCTGACGTGCCCGGTCCAATGCTCAATCACATCCACGCGACAGAGGAAACAACCCCTGTGACGGCGCTGGTAGACGCAAACTCTCCGCATTCGCCACACTGCCATGGGTCGAGCACGGGGTTCTCCACGCCGAGTGCTGACGTCGTTACGAGCACGAGCATGCCCTGGGCATCTTGAGCCGCGGGCTCATGTCGCTAGTTTCACGTCAGTTCACGGCGAGCATGGGATTCCTTATCGTGGGCCAGTCATCCAGCTCGCCCAGCAGAGCGGAATTGCGGGGGCCCCGCCTCCGAGCATCGTCCACCTACTGCTCTCCCACACTGGGCGCCCAAGGTCTGGGACTAGGCTTGGTCTGGCTCTGGGTCCCGGAATGCGGGCTGCGAACTTTTGATTTAGTCGCGAGCTTTGCCATTGTGGCCGGCCCTACCATCTCTTCCCATAACATCCGTCGCCCTGCACTACAGCTTGCCATTCTGACCCCGGCCCGCATCAAAGCATCCCACTCTCGGACACGGCACCGCCATGGCTGGCCCAGGCAAAACTTCGACCAAGAACGACATGACTAAGCCGTCCGAGTCGGACGAGACACCGTCCAAGCGGGACATCAGGCTCGATCAGGACACGTCGGCCAAGGCCTCATCGAGAGAAAAGTCTTCCAAGCCGCGTCACAGGGCGTCAATCGCCTGTGCTTCATGCCGGGACCGCCGAATTCGCGTATGCTCTTAGCGTCACATGTACGTCGCTTTTCTGACAAGTCGCAGTGCGTAGTACCGCCAGGAGAGAAGGAGTGCACCCAGTGTAAACGGTCGGGTGTAGAGTGTGTGATTAAGAATGACGATGAGAGAAGGAGGTGCGTGATAGCATCACCTCCTCGAAAGAAATCGAGCAGCCCCTCTGACTGTAGCGAACTAGCGCTGTTCAGTGTCTTTTGAGGTGGTGATGGTGTGGAGCTGGTGACGTAGAGGCTGACAGCTCTCAGACCCATCTCGAGAGCATACATGTGCTCCCTCACCGATCGCGTGGCCCTCCTGGAGACTATGCTGAAGGAGCGCGGCGAGGAGATACCGCCAGCGAACCATCCGCCCAAAACGCGCCACAATGGACCGCGCAATGAGGAAGACCCCTCTCCAAGCCAGAAGCACACCGAGTCTACCAACATCCAAAACGACAACTCCAGCCCTGGAAGCCAAGAGAGTCCTCAAGATGAATACCCAGAGTTTGAGCAGCAAGACTTTAGTATGAACAGTCCCTACATCTCCACCGATGCAGACAGCGCTGGTTCGCCGTCTATACTACCTCCGCCCAAGAAGAACGGCATGGTTAGCCGGCTTCTCTCTACCCGCGGCCATCTCTCCTTTGACCAGCTCAACGGCCGCCTTCGCTACTTTGGCCCGACAACAAATTGCCATGTGCATTCCGAATCCCTGAATCCATGTAGTAATACCCAAGAACACAGCGAACAATCTCGACGTGCCGACAGAATCATTCGCTCTCTCTCACTGGATACCTATGATTACCTCATGGACCTGTTTTGGCAGTACTACAACACCGTCCTCCACGTACTGCATCAGGAAGCCTTCAACGAGGACCGCGAAATGGGCCGCACCCAGTTTTATTCTGGCTTCTTGCACGTTTGCGTGCTCGCCATGGGATTCCGCTTTGCGGATAAAGAAAGAATGGATATCAAGCGCATTGGTCTGCCGGGCATGGAAAGCACACTGCATCGTGAGGCCAAGTATATGCTCGACCATGAGCTTGAGAGACCTGGCGGAATTCCCAGTGTCATTGCACTGCTGTTGTTGGGAGACTTGGAATGTGGTGTTGGCCGTGACAATGCTGGCTGGATGTATAGCGGTATGGCTGTCAGACTCGCATTCGACATTGGGTATGTTGGAACTCTGATCTGCTTTGAGGCACTCTAACGTGATGCAGTCTACACCTCGACACACGCCTCTCAGGCCTTCCTACACGCGAGATTGAAATTCGGCAAATGACTCTTTGGGCTTGCGTCATCTACGACAAGTACTGGGCACTTTTCCTCGGCCGTCCCACGTCCATGAAGTCTTCAGACCTGGAGATATACCACCTGACCAAGCAGTTTGATCGTCTTGGTACCTGTCGTCCCGCTGGCCCTGAGAAGAGCATGGAAACCATGATTTATGAAGCACTTCTCGATCTCATGGAGCTCGCCGGCAAGATTACGGAAAACATGGATCCCCGTCGGTTTCAAGCTAGCACTGCGGACGTGCACATTGCCGTCGATCGTAATCAATACATTCAAATGGCGGCGTTGGATCGCGAGTTCAGCAGCTGGTATGCCCGGTTGCCTGAACAGCTGCGCTGGACGCAGAACAATATCGCGACAGCGCCTTTTAGTTTCTTCTTGCTGCACCAGCAGTATCACACCAGCTTGATTTTGTTGCACCGCCCCTTTGCACTGTATGACGATCAAGCAAGCAATGATATTGGACCTGATGATCACTTTTCAGCTTTGAGTCGGACAGTGTGCACCAAGCACGCGATACGAGTGGCAAGGATTTACTGGCAGCACCGGCAGCGGTTTGACACGAAGCGAATCTTTGTGACAGGCATGCAGCACGCCGTACGTACAATTTATTTCTATAAAAACTGCTAGCAGAACTAACAAGATATAGGGTACTGCAGCTACAGCCTTGGTCGCCGCACTGGCATACATCAAAGACCCTGTATCCCGCGCTAACAACATGCAATACCTGGAGTGTCTTTCCGCCGCTCTCTCAGACATGGCATTCACCTACCAGCCCGCCGAAAGCATGTCGACGGTCCTCCGTGCGGTAATGGTTGAACTCCGCGGCGGCCCCGATCCCTCATCATCCACCTCATTCAACCCCTACAAACTAGAATCTAGCCTCGTCCCCGCCCGCCGCGGCAGCACCATCGACATGGACAGCGACCGAGACAGCAGCAACCAATGGGCCAAGAAGCGACAGATGAGCTCCTCCACCACCAGCAACACTCCCAATGTCCGGCCGCGCCCCCGCAAAACACGCACCATGAGTTCGGGCACCACACACACCCAATCCGCCGCCACACTCCCACCAACACCGCTTTCCCAACACAACCTCGCCATCCAAGCCCCGCCGCCCCCTCGCTTCGAAGACCAATCTCAAAACGACAGCTTCATCATGGTGACCCCTAGATCAGAACTTGGTACCTGGGTCCCACCACAACCCCAGGATCTCACTTCTCAACCTCTCTCCACGCCCCCGGCTACCGCAGCATCCTCGACATCGTCATCGCAGCACCCCCGCCACTCATGGCTTGCTCCCCCGGAATTTGATCAGCAGGATGCAATAGCTCAGCTCGCGAATGCGCATTTCCCGGAGCTCAGCGCGTTTGATGATGTCGTTGCTGCGGGGGTAGTGGGTAGTGGTGGTGGTGGTGGTGGTGGAAATAGTGGACATAGTGGTGTAAATGGCAGTAGTGCTACTACTACTACTACTACTGTACTTAGCACCACTACCACCGACGGACCCATGAATCTCGATTTCATGCCCCTCGGCGATGTAAGTGATGTGTGGGGCGCGTTGGGAAAAGGGTGGAGTACAGGTAGTGATTTGGATGGGTTTCCGCTGCAAAATTCTTTTTAAACATTTTCCCTTTTTCTTTTTTCTTTTTTTGTACTTGGGGATTGGGGGGGGTTTGTCTTTTCTTGTATAGAACGTTTCGCGTCCTGGGCAGGTTCCAAATTCATGTTTCTTTTTTTTAACGGAGATGGGAATGCGGTATCTGCAGTCATTGTGTGAAATCCATGAAACCATGTGTGAGTGCGCTGTTGGTATATACATTGTCAGTGGTATTCTGTGAAAAATCAACTTTTTTTTTCCCGTCCGTTTCTCTCTCTCTCTCTCTCTCTCTTGTTACATATTCCCTTTTCTTCGTCTTCAGGTCAAATATATACACCATCCCCATCCCCATCATGTCAAAGAAAAAAAAATACTAGGGATACCGCATGTTAATAACACACAGCTTTGTTTTCCCCTTGACTATTCGCCTTGCTACGTGTAAATAGTTTAGTTATGCTTATGAACGAACGAATGGACGAATGAACGGACGGACGGACGAATCAGCTAGACAAATAGACAAATGGATAAATTGGTAGTGCAATGGTATGTATTTGTGTGTCCGATCCAAAAAAATATGAAAACGAGTCTTTTTTTCCCCTTTGATACATAGGGGGGGAGGGATGGGGGGAATATGTATTATTATTATTATTATTATTATTCCATTAGAGTCTATCTGCAGTCAGTGACTATGTAAGACTTTGGCCAGAGGCCGTTCTAGGTACAATTTGTTTAAAGTGAGAGTGTTCTCTGTATAGTACTGCTATTGTGCTGCGGTTTAGTCGCTTCTAGCTGCGCTTAAAGCAGACTCCAGTTGCTGAAGAGCAGTTTAGTAAACAGGAAGAGATGTTAGACAGCAGGGCTGTCTTCCAGCGAGCTCTTTAGGGCTAAGGAAAGTAACTTAAGAAGTTTGTTAGTTATTATTGGTTTAGGTAGT